CCCATAATGAATGTCTTCCCAGGTAGGACTCTGATTTGGCATACAAAATACTTATTAAGTGATACAAACAAGAAAACCACCGTATCAGTGGCCAAATTCCTCTTCTCTGCCCAAAGAATATGTAAAACAATCTTGACCTCTACATAACCCTGTCATTTTTAAAAAAAAACAAAAACCATTGTATGGGTGTATTCAATTCTTTACATTCAAGAACAGTATTCAGATGTCACACCCAACCATGGTTGATTTGCAGAAGAATGTGGGGGGAGGGTAGGGAAACAAGGGTGCTGAAATCTTGCTGCAGCACCTTTTTTTAAAAAAAGGGTCATTCTGGGTGGTTCACAACATTAAACAATAAGCAAACATAATTAAACCTTACATAATAAGGGGTATATTAAATATAAAATATTGATACTAAAATAACAAAACATAATAGAATACATAAAATGTATTTTAATGGGTCAGAGACTGCAAAAAAAGATTGTTGTTGTTGTTGATATTGTGATCTTAATGGCTAATAATTTCACTAAAGTCCATTGATTGATTAAAGCAGCATTTAACATTTAAAATGGTGATATTGTAATCTTAATGGCTAATAATTTCACTCAAGTCCATTGATGGATTAAAGTAAAACACCTGTCAGAACAGCTAGGTTTATAAAAGCTTCTTGAAAGTCACCAATGAAGGGGCCAGGATAGCCTCGGAAAGTTGGTTCCAAAGTCAAGGAGTACCTGCCAAGGTTTGTTTGGTTCCTACTTTTCTCCCTCCAGCCTCTCTCAGCGTCAACATCCTCAGATGTCCAGCCTCAGCAACCTAATTTTAAAGCATCCTTTCTCCAAGGCTTCCTTCCTCAGAGTGGGCTTTCTTTTTTATAATTCAGGGGTACATTTTAACAGTACCTGTATTCAAAAAAGCACACGACTCAGTCTATTGAAATCTCTGTTGCATTGTGAAACAGTGGAAGTGGGAGGAAGGGTGAACCCGCATGTGGCAATCTTGCTGGCTTCTCAGTATCTTCTGCATCCCTGTAGGTCCAGACCAAAAACAAGGGATCAGTTTTCCACCTCAGAAAATTGACTTGATCCAGAAAGACATTTCTTACTTTATTTACTTACTATTTATTGCACCAGCACCTTATATTTTCTCTAAGGATCTCAAGGCAGTGTATAATTTTGTACTCACAACAACCTCGCAAATCAGGGTTAAGGTGAACAAAAGTGACTTCCCCGACGTCATCTACCCACGAGACCTAACGGCCTGGAGGGGAGAGGATTTGAATCCAAGTCTTTCGATGGTTTGACTCCTCAAAAGAAGTCACAGTCTTGAATTTCCAAGGGCTGTTGAGGACCAGGCTGTTTTGGAGAGATCTTTCATTCCTAGGGTCGCCGTTAGTCGGAGGCGACTTGACGGCAAATAACAACTTCTCCGTCCTATTTGAGCACAATATCCGCCATTTTAGACCGGCGCAAAAAAAAAAAATACTTCGCAAAAGGACACACACTAATTGACTGAGTAACTAAGACATCACAGTTATCTCTTTTGAAACTGTAACTAAGACAAGCAACGACAGTGGCTACATACAGAAGACAGCAGATACTATATCAAAATAAAGTGCAGCGTTTGTCCTGTACGCGTACGGAGCTCATGGGCTCCACCTAAAGCCCGTCAACGGTTTTTTTTCCCGTCGGTTGGCCATTCGCCTGGGCAAGGTCACTTCGACGAAGACACGGGAGAGCGCGTTGCTCCTGCTGCTTCTTTTCTTCTTCTTCTTCTTTTTGAACGCTGCCGCTTTTCTCCGATTGGTTGGATAAACTCTCCTCCCCTTCTCGTTATCCCTATCGGCTTTGTTGTACCAAACGGCCATGGGGGAGGCGGGCGTAGGTCCCAGAGAGGCGAGAGGCGATTGGTCGAGCGGCGTTTGCGCGGGCTGAGGCGATCCTTTCGAACCAATTTTTCAAGGAACTTCCGGCGCTCTTTTGTTCGGGTCCTTTTTCTGCCTCCGCTGAGCCGTTTGGGAAAGTCGAACTGAGGGAAGCAGTCGTGGGTGGCGGGGGGCCGCGTGACAGAAATTGGTTATCGCATCCTCCGTTTTCCTTTTCTTTGGCCCGCCCCACCCCCATCCCTGAGCAGTTTCCACGGCCATTTACCTCATATTCTCAGGAGACACCTCCCCCCCCAAGTCTTCCCCTCTTTTTCGTCTCCTTCCCGCCACCGCTTCTCTTCTCCGTCAGCCATGGAACTCGACGACTCGCTTTCGCCGCTCAAGGTGAGTTTTCCAAACCTCCCGAGCTATGGTTTGCATACACACAACATGGTTTTATGCTCCTTGCCTTGCCCTCTGGGCTCCGGCTGAAAACGATCCGTGTATTGTTGGCACGGCTTCGTCCACTCTGAGGCGATCGTGCCTCCCCCACTCACCCCATCGGTTTTCTTTTTCCCTTCATGGTTGTGGCGGTTTCAAGCCCTTCTTCTCTCATGAATTGTTAAATATACTGGGTTAAACCTCTCCTTAGCCATACCTTAAGTGTGCCCGTTAAAATCAGTGGGACTACTTTAAGATTCTTTGATTTCGGTGGGTATGCTGTACTTATTTTAAGTGGGGAGGGGGAATCGTACTTCAGCAATATTATGAACTCAAGGTTTCTGTGCAAGAAACCCGAAATTCAACTCCTGGCGTCTTCACCATAAAACCAGGTTATCAGGAGATAACGGGAAAGGGCTCTCTCAGCAGGAAAACCCACTTTTAGCTGGCGAGAGAGGAACATCAGAGCAGATCTCCAGATGTTGTTGGAGTCTAACTCAGTGTGGTCAGTAGGAGAGGCGTGATGATAAATTGCTTTTCCATAACTAAAGGGTGAAAGGTTTCCTATTCCCTAGATCGGGACAAAGTTCAGAAAGATACTTTGATCAGCCAACTTCCCGTATTTTTAAGTGCTCCCTCAGGTCTTTTCACACTAGTGATGCGTTCTAGTACTCCAAATCATTAATCTAACTACCAAATTTTCTATTAATTTCTGCTTTAAAATAACCGTGTGGTCCCATGTGCAGACACTGGACTGATCCGATCTGATGTCTACAGTTTTCATCCCTGAGGCTAGGAACCTGTACCCAGTTTCGTTTGTACTTTCTTATATTTACTCTAATTTTACAGTAATGTCTAGTATACTTATAATACAGTGTAATTGTGGCAATGTAATGTATAGCAAAGTATATTAGTATTTTAGCCCTCTTCCTTATAGATTTTAAACCCAAGGACATAACCTTTATTACTGTCTTGCGTTATCTTTTACTGTGTTATTTAAATATCTTTATTTATTACCTAAGTCCCTTTGTGATATGTACAACTTTCTTACATCTATTTCAAAACTGAATGGGGGAGAAAGGAAAACTATCCCCCTAATCCCCTTTTGCCTTTTGAAAGTAGATATTTTTATGATTAAAGGATATCCCCCATATTGCATGTATACATTCCTTTGTTGCTGAGCTTGGGGACCCCTGCTCCTCAGCCTTTCTTCCTATTTCTAACTGTAATCAGTGGATACGTTCAATCATGTGCCTTTCCTCAGTTTCCATTCTGTCATTCAAATCTTTAGTTCTGGCTCTGATATTTTTGTTACCTATATACTGTATTTTCATTTCTGTGGTAGTAGTTGATTGCAGCCACCTGCTCAACTAGCACTTCCTTGAAGAATGATTTAACATGATGCTTTTGTTGTTGTTGTTCCTGTTCAGGCAGTGGATGTGAACCCCAAAGTGGGTAAAGTCAAGAATGAGGATGCCAAAAAAAGATTGTCTGTTGAAAGAATCTATCAGAAGAAAACTCAGCTGGAGCATATATTGCTCCGGCCTGATACCTACATTGGCTCTGTGGAACAAGTGACTCAGGTATCATAATCTATGTCAGGACAGTTGAGATAGATATTAAATGTGTTACTCTAAGTTAGAGGAGGTCTTTCTGGGTAGTTCTGAAAATTGCAGAGGTCTAGAATCATAAACCTTGACTATGCTGTTTAACTTGTGCTTTCTTATATTTACTCTCATTTTACAGTAATGCATAATATATCTTATATATACTACAGTATAATTATGAAGGCAATAATTAATTTATAGTATAGTATATTAGTAAGTATAATGCCTCATTTGGGAGTTGAGTGAGTACTCTATATTTCACAAATAGGACATTGTAGGTTGCTATGAAATCCCAAGGCTATGATGCTGTCTTCGTATGTTCACTTGAATGGCTTGCACAGAGGGGGCAGGAAATCATCCTCTGATAAGTTTGTTGTGCTGCCAATTTTACATTACTGTGCCCAAAAGAGATGCCAGCATCTTGGTAAACAAATAATGTGGTGAACTTTTTAAAGAGAGGTTAACTCTCATTCTGAATTCACTTCCAGTTTGGCAAGCCACTTGTTAAGCATGAATTTGCTTTATTAGAAAACAGTGTTCTGTAATTATTATATTTTACATTATGAAAGTTACTACTTCTATATGTTGTCTTTTCAGCAAATGTGGGTTTACGATGAAGATGTAGGACTGAATTGCAGGGACGTCACATATGTACCTGGCCTTTATAAAATCTTTGATGAAATACTAGGTATGTTGAGATGCTATTGATAAACTAAATGTGTGGAAGAGCAAGAATAAGTGGCTTGGGATAACTGGGGTAGTTTCCATTGGCAGGCCAGAGAATGAATTGAGGTATTGGCATCCTCTAATTAGTTGTATTTTCTTCCCTTTAGTCAATGCAGCTGATAACAAGCAGAGAGATAAGAACATGTCTTGTATCAAAGTTACAATTGACCCGTAAGTTTTGTTTGGATTTTAATTTAGCATTTCTTAGCTTCCTCAAGCATTGATGTGTAGGGGAGGGTAGTATATGTCATTCAAGCACCTGAATTTGTGCTTCACAATGCTGCTTATGACCAGGAACATAACTGGAGTTTTGCTTTCTGGCATGATAGCCTCTTAAGACTATTTCTGTGTGGGCAGAACTCTGTGCCAAGAGGCTGTTAGCATTAACCACAAATTTGATTTTTGTGTGACAGCTCTTTTCATAACAACTTTAGGAAAGCTGGCAAGATTGACCATGGCTGCACGTCTGTTAGGCACTACATATGTTTTAAAGGAGAATTGGCTGCTTGTCAGCTAGAGAAGTGTGTAAGAATTTCAGACAGATTGTCTGGGCTCCCATTGCAGTCTGTTGAGCATTCTGTAGGCATAAATGTACAAATAAAGATAGATTTTGTATCAGTTACCTCATGAGTGCTCTAGACATTACCAGTGATGCAATACCTCTTAATTTGACAACAGCTATGTAACTAACAGAGTTGGCTACATTATGCTTGTTCCATTCTTAGTATAGCCACAAGAGCTCATAGCTGCCATGCAACTCCCGATGACATGATGGAGTCTTCAAGCAACCTAGAACTAAACTTTACAGTATAGGGCTTTATAAATCAGCACTTTGAATTGGGACTTGAAATAAACTAGCAGCCAGCAGAGTGCCTGCAACCAACCCCAGTCTACCTTCCCTGAAATATTTAATATAGACACATTTCTAAACACTTCAAAGGGAATCCCACAAAGTTTGAACTCTAAAAGGCACAATTCTCAAAATGTGGAAAACGGTTGTTAAAGGAACACAATAAACTATCAAAAACTTGAACTATCAGAAAACCCATCATTCAATATACGGTAGGCACAAGTCTGTTTTTCAAAAAGAAGCCTAGTAGTGCATCTGTAGCTGAGAATGAAGGGTTATTTTGGGTTTGAAGAGTTGTGATATTTCTTGTACTTTGCGGACCAGAACTGAATAGAATTAATTCCATGAAGAGTATGGCTTTGCTTCTTTCTGATTCATTGAGAATTTGTTTTCTTTTTCTAGAGAGAATAACACTGTCTCTGTGTGGAACAATGGAAAAGGAATTCCTGTCGTAGAACACAAAGTAGAGAAAGTCTATGTGCCAGCTCTTATTTTTGGGCAGCTTTTAACATCCAGCAACTATGATGATGATGAGAAGAAAGTCACAGGTTAGAGGAACATTTCAGTAGGAATTATTGACCAGCCCAGAGGCCTGAGAGTGCATTCTAAGTGTGTCACTCTCTTTGAAAAATCAAAACTCTTTTCTGGGCTGTCTTCATCAGTTACAGCTGAATCTTCATAGCTTGCATTCATGTTGCAGAATATCGAGATGTCAATGTGCAGATTCCATAGCAGGCAATGAACAATTGAGAGAGAGAGACTGTAACTTTGAAGGCTGGCTACACGAAAGTAGCCCCCTGCTGGAATGGTTTGGATCACTTTTAAAATATCAACTGGTTCTTAACCTTTGTTACTCAGATGTTTTTGGACTGCAACTCCCAGAAGCCTTCACCATCAGCTCTGCTGGCTGAGGTTTCTGGGAGTTGCAGTTCAAAAACACCTGAGCAACAAAGGTTAAGAACCACTGAACTACACAATGTACTTGTTAGAGTGTTCCATCCCATACCTAATGGAGACCTATCCATCCCAGGTTGCTCTAGTGTTGGAACATACTGTTTATTTGGAAGAAGTCCAAATAAGCAGTGTTGTCTTACTGTGTGATCACCTAGACTGCTCCAGTGTGAGATGGGGGAGGAGTTCTTCCTACACACCAGTGGTGAGATGTAGAAATGGGTGTGGTCTGGTCATGACTGCAGATAGCATGAGCACATTTTTGTTTTAATTAAAAATATACTTTTCCACTATTGCACTGCATCATGTTCTGTAAAATGTAGGGCTGAAGATGATATCCTGGCCATGTATACTTTTACATGCATTTATTACTTGCTAATTTTGCAAAGCTGATGTTTCTGAACATCTGTCAATGAAGACTACATAGCATGATAATACCATAGACAGTAAGGTGTTTTCAGAAATAAAGGTGGGGCTGAAACATGGCACTCCGTACTCCCACTCTTTATGTACATAAAAACAGCATTGATGCCCACCTGCAAGCAAATGGAAGCAGGCTGTTTTGCAACTGGCTGACAGCTATTGTAAAAGAGGAGGCAGAGCATGAGGAGGGGAGGGTCATGTTGTGACAAAACAGACCAGACCAGAGCAATCTAAAACACCAGCATGTGGTTGACTAGATCAAAACTGCATGGCTGCAGGAACAATTTCCTTGTGAAAAAGAGTGATCTAATCATGCCTCACCATTCCAAAGCAATTCAGACTAGATCACACTCTGTTGCTAATGTAACCATACCTGTGGTTAGAAGTCTGTGAACTTTTTAAGAGTAGTGGGTTTTGTTTTGTTTTTGCCTGAAAGCAGTTCAGTGGCCAAATGGCACTTTATTCCTCCTTTTGAGCTGACATGGAGGAACATGTTACCCGTCTGATGTTGTTGGACTATAGTTCCCATAATTCCTGACCGTTCAGCATGATAACTAAGGCAAATGGATGTTGCAGTTCAGCAGCACTTGGACAGCCACAGGTTGCCCACTCTTAGGTTAAAGTCAGGGGTGAGGAGTAGGAACCAAGGTTTGGCGATACAGATCTTCAGGCAAGAAGAAGGTGTTGTGGGTTCTGTTCTGTTCAGCAATGTAATCAAACATGGAAATTCGTAATTATCCCATACTGACAATTGCTGACAGTACAGTGGTGCCCCGCATAGCGACGTTAATCCATTAAAAAAAGGCTATCCGGATTCCTCACTATGCGGGGCAAAAAAACCCATATGAATGCATTAAAACATGTTTAATGCATTCCTATGGGGGGAGAACTCACCACTGTGCAGAAATCCTCCATCCGGCCGCCATTTTCGCCACCCGGTAAGCGAAACCGTGCGAAAATGCTGCGGGCGGCCATTTTGTTTACCCAGCGGCCATTTTGGGACCACGATCAGCTGTTTTTAAAACATTACAATGCGAAGACCGGTAAGCGAAATGCTTACCGATCATCGCAATGCGATTTTCACCCATTTAGAACATCGCGATGTGATCGCAAAATCTGCATCGCTATGCGGATTTGTCATTAAACGGGGC